AAAAAAGGGCATAAGCCACGCACGCACACACACACACACACATACACACCGATTCCAAAATAACAACAAACCGGGCGCGTCGGTGAATAACGAGAAATTGGCAATTTGCCGAGATGTAACTTTTCCAACAGATTGATTCCACGAATTGCTTGAGCGGAAGGAGCGCAGCGCAGGATGGGAGAGAAAGACCCCGACTGGTCTGATAACGGCTGTTTGCACTGAAAGCCTCAGCGGCTGTGGTTTCCTCTGGGATTGACAGGTGACCGATTTAAACGGTAAGTGGCGGCCTGGATGCGTGCTGACCGACTTTCGTGTTGTTTATGTGTGTAACGTGCGTAATGCGATGCGTAAAAGATGCCCGCGTAAATATGGCATCTTCTTCTTCTGCCGCCCCCCACCGCTCTCCTCGTCCGTCATGGTGGTCGTTGAATCCCTCTCTTCTCCTGCTGTTCCAGTGTCAGCCCCCCTGTCACTCACTTTTCTGGTGTTTTTGGGGAGAGCCAAAGCGACGAGCAGCCACAGGTTGTGTGGGTTCCCCGGAAAGTCCGCGCGTGCACGGGGGCTCTCGCATTGTTATGCGTTTGCATTTTTTTTTTTTTTGCATAGCACAGGCCTTTCCTAGAACAGAGCCCAATCATCTGTATCACACTATTTAAATAACTGGTGAATCATGAATGTGAATTACATCAAATAACAAAGCTTGATTGTATTATTGTTGATAATGACTTATAAATCACAATCACCCATTTGGTTATCATCTTCTTTCATGACATGATTATGGTATTCTGAGGGAAATGAACAGCCTGTCTAAGTGACGTGGGGAGGATTTCCGCGTTGACCTTGGACCCGTTGGCGGACCATCTGATCCTGGCCGAGTCACAGTCGGACACTTTGTGACAAAGCCGCACAGTTTTAACATCGGTGAATCACAGCAGGGGTCGTGTTCCTCAGCAGTGACACAGTTGACACAGACGGTGTGCCGAGGTCAATTTCTAGACTTGGTTGAACCCACATTTCTCTGCACAGAAATCTGTTTGGCATGGAAGTGCATGATGGACCTTTTTACCCCTTAAAAAGTGCACTTACACACACAAACACACACACAGCAAAGTGCACCGGATCAACAATGTAGAACAAGTCATTCATATTTGCTCCTTTGCATAGATCCACAGATTGCATAGAAACGCCTCTTTAACCTGCTCACATATGAAAGACAGATGTAACCTTGGACATGTCACACTGCTTTCTTATTGACAAAGTACAAAGCAAAACAAAACAGTGTGCGGTTTGTTAATGCCAGTGGTCATAAGGAGAATTGTGATAGGAAATACTGTAGGTCACATAAAAAGGGCTTTCTTGGTTGCTCAGTTGAATATTCCTCGGCATCCAGCTGCTGCTATCTGATATGTGTGGGTTTCCACTTTCTCCTCCGAGGTGGCACAACCCCACATGCAGCTAAGCTTTGCACGTAGGGAAGCGAGATGTTTGCATTCGCAGCCTGATCTCCAAAACCTGTTCGTAAAAATGTATACGAAAATCTTGAACATACAAATTCTTAGTGATACATACGAAATAAATAGGGACTGCAACTGATGACGTCACCCTATTCAAAGTGAACGGGGACCTGCGCCCTGTAAACACACTTCGTGGAGTCTAACCATGTGAAATAAACGTGTTATGATTGCATTTATAACGAGAAATCAATGTTAACTTGTAAGAATAGAATACTAACCCTAACCCCCTCAAAAGACCCAACATGGCGGAGAGACGTTCACTCAAGAATCCAACATGGTCCGCCATGTTGTTCACTCAAGGGGCGTGGTTAACCACCGCCAGTTCCTATGTATCACTACAAATTTGTATGTTCAAGATTGTCGTATACATTTTTACGAACAGGTTTTGGAGATCACGTTGGCATGGGACAAAAGGAGCCTAGCTCGATTCTGACTGGAGAAGACCGGGAGAAGGGGAGGAGGAGGGGGGCAGTGACTTTCTGGGCCCAGGCGGTAGGGAAGTGAAGGAAAGCGGCTCCGTCTAGACAATAAAGTGCTTCAGTTAATACACGTTGGCTGTTGGCTTAGCTTGTGGTGTCGGTGTCCCACACAATGAAAGGGCAACGGTTTTCCTAGACAGGGGGATGAATCACACTGGTGCTACCAGCTGATTAATGGGCTCTTATTAGGAAGCACACGAGTGCACTGTGCACGGAAGCGTCCATGGATCCTTATGTTTTGACTTCTTCTAACAAAGAGATTTATGACAAACAGCACCATATGATCTCCTACCTTTTTGTGTTTGTTGTGTGAGAATGGATCACACTATAAAACCACGGCTATCGTCGATCAAACCAAATGATATACTTGAAGATTGGGATGAACGAGAGAAAAGAAGATTCTTCAGCTGCATGAAGATGCAGCTTTATTAATTCATAGATGCATCCTCGAGACTGAAGCAAAGGGTATCTCAGGGTCACGCTCAACTGACTGTTGTTGAAGTGCATTACTCCAGCGGATTGGATTCATGCTTGGTCTTGTATTTGTATGTATGTAATTGATTAAACCCTGTCTGATTGATCCTTTACAATTTACTGCAATGTGACATGCACCCTGAGTAAATGGAAATGCATCATGTCAAGAGAGCAACAAGAAAAGTCCCGGTGCTCAGAAATGAGATTAAAGCCCCGCAAGCCTTTTACTCCCACTGAGGACAAAGGTTTAGAAGCACAGTCTTATTAAATTGCACGACCTTGTGCCTGAGTCTTCTACATGCTTTTTTGTCCTCCACAGGCTCACATCACACCAGAATGGTCACGAAGAAGCTCGCCGTCTTCCTGCTGGTCCTCTCTCTTTGTCTGGAGGGAGGATCAGCCAAAGAGAAAGGAACAAAGAAGGGGAAGAAAAAAGGCAAGCAGGTGTATTGTCCATCGTAAGTATGCGTTAAACAACCACATTGGCTGTCTTACAACACGATATGCTTCATGCATCCTAGACATACAACTATCTTCATTGGCTTAGTGATACCCTCAGAGACTAACAATGTGACCTCGATGTGTGAAATTGATGAAGTTTCCCATTTATTACCTCGTTCAGCTGCGTCGAGAACAGGAGGATCGTCTGCAATGATATCACGAGAAACCACACAAACCGTAGGCTTCCATTGACGCCAAATAACCCCAAATTGACAAAAAATAATTCATATAAATATTCAAATCTTGGCTGAATTCCTGCCAGCTCACCTCATGTGAATGGAAAAAGGTTATACGGTTACCAATACGCTTTATGATACTATCAACTTTTTATGATAATCCCATGCAGTTTGGAGAAAAAACCCCAAGGAGTTTCATTAGTGTGCAGCACAAATGTGTTATTTTTACTTATTGTATACTGGGGTTACATGGCATGTATTGGGTTTAAACTGGAAAGTTGAGGCTTTTGTGGATCCCGTTTCCCCAATTTTATTCATGGTATCCATTTCACGTAGTGAGATATTTATTGATATGTTAGCTGTAGGATAATGAAAGCCTCATTGATCTTTATACCCCAGACTTTGACCTATATAGTCAAAGGACACATACTAGCTCAGTATATTTTGGAAATTGAGGGGTTTCCAAGGATTTTCCTTCAAAAAGGACAGAACAGGAATACATGATGGTTTCTATACGGGTTAAAGCATAACCTCGTTATCTCGCTATATATACTTTCCAGTCTTCATCCACAAGTTCCCGTTTGACCAGATCTCATCATCTGCCTCACTGCAGAGCAATTGGAGTATGATATTAACCTGTCCACAGTCAACCAGGAACCATTTGCTGGCTTATTTGACTGCTTCAGACAGATAGAAATGGGACTTGTCAGTTACACTCTCAGCCCGACAACCGAACGCACATCAATATGACCCAACGTGCCGTTTGGACTGTCCATTGTCGCTGTGTTGAGGAGAGCCGCACAACGCTTCTTCCTTAAACGGTAACAAATGGCTCGACAATGAAAGGTTCTCGAAGGGGCCGTTTGATGTAGTCCCGGTATTGGCACGTGTAAGCCGTATGACATATTTTGAGTTTAGTGCCACGGATGCCTTCGTGGATCAAGGGAACCACTTGGTTCCAGTTTAGCTGTTGTGCTTGAGGTTGTCAAAGAGCTCTGTGGAACGAGGGGGAAAAAACGAGGTTTAGGGGATGGGAATTAAGGGTTTCACTTTGATCAGAGGAACCGCAGAACATACACACACTGCGCGGCATTCCTGTGAAGCACTTATCACGCACTGAGGATGACTCATCCTCAGTGCGTGATAAGGTTTACATAATGACATGTAAAGTGCTTTGAGAAGGGGAAATTCTTTGGCAGGAGAATCACTGCCACCCACAAGGAGGCTTTTTTTGTGCTTTCTCTCCTGCAGGATCGTGTTCTCCCCTTTGCTTCTTTCAGTTTCCATCAGTCAACCTCAGAAAGGAAATTATGTTTTGTCGAAGGTGTCTGAAAGAAACCGTGTTATGTTGTGGCAGTAATTTACAGGGTTTTTTGGTTGCTGTTCAAGTTCAACAGGAAAATCTGACTTTGGTTTAAATGAAAAGTGGAGCTGTGCACTCTTTGCCATCCACGTTGCTGATTCATTATTTACTGGGTTTCAGAAGGTAAATAGAGTTAAGTTGAGAAAAGGAATAGGAATAAACATTTAACCAATCATTAATTACCTTGTGATATTGCGGCATCATGTCGACTTCCTCAGTCAACATTTACTTACAAATTAATCAACTGGTAGCTCAGTAAAGGCTATAGTTTGACTATACAGAGGTGTGTGTGTGTGCATCTGCCAGGAATTTGCCCTGCAAATGTAATCGTGGCTGCAGTTCCCCCTCTGTGGTCTTTGTTTGCAGACAGCTGTCACCGGAGGATCTGGCCCGAGTCCCTGAGAATTCCACCAGTAACATCTTGAACAGGTTACTGATCACCTACGATCCCCGAATAAGGCCCAACTTCAAAGGCAAGCCTCATTTCCTGGTCATCTGTCTCCGTCTATTTTTAATTTATATCTTTGCCGCAGTGCTGTCATGCTAATTAAAGAAACAAGTATACTGTAAATACCTTTAGTTTTCTCCCATGAACACAGACAAGCTCTCGATAAATGTGCTTGAGACATCAGTAAAAATGTATTTCCTTTGATGCAACACTTTGTTGCATATTTAGCGTGCATTACAACTCTGGTTGGCTTCTTTCCGCAAAAGCAGTTCATGGTGGTGTTGATTGACACATACAGGCTGGTATGGGAAGAGCAAAGATGTGACCTACGGCATAGTCTCGAATCGAATTCTGGATATTATATTGAGCTACTGTTACCTCAAATGTCAAGCCTCTACATTCTGTCACTGTTTCTTTCACTTTTTACTGCGTATTATCTTGCAAGTACCCATCTTTAAAGTGTTTACAGTGTAGGTGTCACACTGTAGTGGCCTTCAGTCTCAAAGGGATGGCCATAAAAATAACGTGGCGGGCGATCGACGATATCTGCGTCTGACTGATGGTCTTCTGCAGTCTTCAGGTAGTTTCCACCCTCTGGCCCTTGGCAGCAGAGGCGGTGGATGTTTTATGTATTATGAGCAGAACCAGCTCCTTTACTGAATGCCTGCCTCCGCTCTAGCAGCCAAACATCTGCTCCTGATTCCAGGTCGGGCTGAAAGTTCCCCCTCCATTAACATCCATGTCATAATCTTCCAAACTACATCCTGGACTGAGGCTTGTGAACTGCTTTGCCCAGGCCCATAAAAAGTGAGAGCTTCTTTTATGGGCCCTGCAAAGAACGTTTAGCTCACGGCAGAAGTGTTTGTGGAATATTTGTTGGTTTGCTTGGTTGCATCGACGCGTGGAAGTTGTGAGCTATAAGCCACCTCTGGTGAGGGGGGGGGGGGTCCTTTGTTGATGAGTTTGGATGAGGGGGCCCAGCATAGTGACACTTAGTAAAATATACTTCACCCCCCACTCTCTTTGACTGTAAATACAAAATGCTTCTTTCCTCTCCCGAAATTCAGGAATTCCCGTGGAAGACAGAGTGAACATTTTCATCAACAGTTTTGGCTCCATTCAAGAAACAACTATGGTAAGAATCTGCTTAAATTCACTATTGATAATCAATACGTCTGCCAGTCAGATGCGGTGGACGGAGGATAAACACTGGTAAGTTTTCAGAGGGATGCATGAGCATGTTTGCAGGATGGGAACAGACCGTCTAGCAGCACATCATCATGGAGGCCTGTTCGCTCCACGCTTCATTTATCTGATGGCTTAATTGCTGATGAAGAAGTGCAGTTTGAATTCAAGTGAACAGATCGTCCTGGGTCGAATCTTGATTGCCAAGGAAACAATAAAGGGAAGATTCTTATAGGTTTCTAATGAGCTTGGCTTACCGGCGTACTTTAATTTAAATTGCTGGGAGGAGCAAATAAATTTGTTTCTTTCTCAGTAAATACGTCCAATAATGTGACACAGTAATTTAAATGAATGCAGGGCATTGTGACCGAATTCCCAATTTGGCGTTGTTCTGTCTCACCTGACCGTCTCCTAATGCAGCTTCACATTTTCACTTATCTTTCCCTTAACATGTTGTCTCATTAAGGCAGTTTTTTCAACAGAAAATGACCTGAACTAGCTACTTTATAACCACATTTCCTTTGTTTGCAAGTGCTGTCGAATGTGACCATGCCCACAATTTGCAAGCTGCTCAAATAAAAGATTTAAAGGTGAAATAATAGAAAAGGCATCCAAGTCTTAAAGACTGGCCAGGCAACATTATTACCAGGTTTATCATGCAGACGCATGCATGGTGTGGCAGCTGAGGTACAGTATGTGACATTTTCCTCAGAAACATGTTTTTTGTGTGGACAATCCAATATTAGTCGTGGAAAATACTTCCTTCTTCACTGGAAAGCGAGATTTCAGACCTCAGAGTCCTGTTGCAGATGTGAACAGTGTCTCAGTGCCTCGTATCATGACGCTGTGAACAAAAGCCTTGGATCTTATACGCTGAAATTGGAGCTGCATGAACACGTTCACTGGAGATATTTCTTCTGGCCGCAGTGTCTCCTTGTTAAATATTGCAGTGGAGAGTTTCTCCACAGGAACAATCACCAGCAAAATCCATGAAACTCAAGAGTATTAAGCACTAGAGTGTGCTAATGGTGGGCGAAAAGCACGACGATGGGAGTAAACACAAAACGTGAAAAGAAAACAGGCAATCGAGAAGAATGGTCCGATGGAGAATGAAGGATCAGAAAGGAGGTGACATGAAGGCTCGAGGTGGAAAACCATATGAATTAAAGTATATTGGGTCGAGGGGGATAAAACAAGACGAAGAAGGCTGGAAAGAGAAGCCAGCTTAAGGAAAAAGGTTATATCGAGAAGGAACAAACCAAGAGCACGATGGACTCACAGATGGCAAATCTACACTCCCTCTTCCTCCCGGACGGCAAATGAAAGACAGAGAGAAAGTGACAGTTGGGAAGATTCAGAATGAATCCAGGAGGAGCAAGAAGAGGCATCTGGTCATCTCTCCCCCTTCATTCATCACTCTGTCATCATTCACACCTCCGTGTCCACCGTAACTAAACTATATATGTTCCCTTGTGCTTGTATTCATCAGTTGGGACTCATTTGAGGTTGAAAGGAGAAATGAATGTGTCTTTTGCTGCCTCACAGCCTGGGTTTTCCTCCCTGATGGAGGTGAGCGGTTTTCTTCAATCTCAATGCCGTGCAGGCAGCTGTGAGCTGGATGGAAGATTTATCCCCCCCGTCCGGTTGTCAGGGAGGTGAAGGTGTGGGAATCGGCTGCATCTCTGTCAGACAGCGAAGAGCCAGCAGAGGCTGCTTGTGCCGCCGCTGGAGGACGAGTCCAAAGAACAATTTGACCACTGCTCCTTCCCCCCCAAAAATCTTTGCTGGCACGGAAAAAGAGCCCATTGTGGTTGATGGGTTAATATACAAATCATCCTAAGACCTCTGTGTATAAACTGGTGTTAGTTGGTCTATTTTGAATTCACAAACAGCAGAGAAGAAGGAAACCTGGTTCCGCATACAGCCGTCTCCTGGGTGGTGGTCCTGTGTTTGTGTTCACAATGACCCAGTCTATCAGAATGTGGTTGCAGTATGCATATGCATTTAGTTTGAGAGGGGATTTTACATTCTTATTTTTTATGCACTTATTTCTTTCACCAGACATCGTTACGTAACTTACGGTAACCAAGCAACAAATATTTTAAAGCAACCAAAGCTATTTTATTGCATTTTATTGTTTAGTACGTGTGCTGTGCGATTCCAAGGGATGAACTGAAGTTTGACTCTAGTATTATTCACCAAAGGAGTGAGTACAGCTGTTTTTTTGTGGTCTTTATTTGACCATCTGTCATCCGTCTTCACCCTCAGCATTCATAGTCCTTCCCAGCAGCTGGTCCCACAGCAGCTTGAGGCATTAAAGCACAAACACAAGCGTCCGACAGCCTCGCCGGATGAGACGTTCCCACCAACAAACATGCGAACATTTCACCAATTAGCTCTCCAATGAGGCTGTGTCCCATGTTGCTGTATCGATAACCTTTGACCCCTGGAAGGAGTTTTCTCCGTGTTTACTCCAGCAGCGGTAAAATATCCCTCAGCACTTTGAAGTTATTCACCAGATGTCGAAGAGGTAGAAAATGGATCTTGTCGATAGAGTGTTTTAAACACCTGGAGCACGTCTGCTTGTCTGCTGTGCAGGATTACAGGGTCAACATCTTCCTGCGGCAGCGATGGAACGACCCCAGGCTGAAGCTGCCGACGGACTTCAAGTCCGATTCTCTCACCGTCGATCCGAAGATGTTCAAGTGTCTGTGGAAACCCGACCTGTTCTTCGCCAACGAGAAGAGCGCCAACTTTCACGACGTCACGCAGGAGAACATTCTCCTCTTCATTTTCCGCAATGGAGACGTCCTCATCAGCATGAGGTGAGAACAGATGCTGGAAGCGAGCAAACACACTGACTCAGTCTTCCGTGGAAGACGGAATCAAATAGCATCTATTGCACGTACTCATTGATTTTACTCCCCGGGCCGCTGTGGCGAGCGACACAGAGCACCACCCCCTCCTCCCCCAATCCACATATTAGTCCCGAGTTTGAATGTATTATTGCAGATGTTGTACCTGGGAAAATAACTCAGACTTTAATCAAAGGTTTTTTTCATCAACCCGTCCTGAGCGCCGCCATTTAAACTGAAAAAGAAATGAGCAAAATTAATTCATTGACTACCAAGCTTCCCTAATGCAGCTTTAAATACCCGACGTATAAGACTAAACAAACATCATGTGATTTAAGGCCTAGTTGTACAAATTCGTGGAGGCTCTATCGTGATTATACAATAATTGGTAATTGGTGTTTTTAATGCCCTGCATACCTGCATTGACTTTTTCATTCCTCACGACTCGGTCCCCTTATTTTCTAGGATTCTCTGTGGAGAATCATTGAGGCTGCGGGAGCGACATTTGGAAAAGATGAGACGTCGTCTAATCGTTCAAGGGGCTCAATGTGAACTAGTCGCGGCTCGAGCTGCAATGTGCTTTGTTGGGTTTGACAAGATAATCCCCGCGGTTATGCCTGCAATTTGGAGTGTGACATATTTGGTTTATCCCACCAAAATGCACCATAAGGATAAAACCTTAAAATCATTGAAGGTAACACAAGTGTGCTCTGGTTTGTGGGAAGAGGAGGGTTGCAAAAGCGCCTCGTGTTGAACAAAAAAACGAATTTCGTTGTCTCCCCGCAGGTTGTCGGTCACCCTTTCCTGCCCTCTGGATCTCACGTTGTTCCCCATGGACACACAGAGGTGTAAGATGCAACTTGAAAGCTGTGAGTCTATAAAACACTCATCACGAACCACATATGTGTTTTGTAAATGTGATTTCAGTCGATCTTCTTGTTTTTAATTGAGAGATACAGTATTTTTGAGGTATGCATATATGATATTTTTGGCTAAATGAAAGCTTTTTGCTTGAGTTTAGGAGCCAACTTCGGTGGCAAACACGTTGAATAAATCATCATGTTTGAAGGTTTATGTGAAAATCGCACAGCTAATTGAGCTTGACGGTGGTTATTGCATCTTCAGAGACTTGAACCAAGAAAATATTATATTGTGGCCGTATGCCGTAGGCTGAATATTTAAATATGAGTTTTGTGTAAGCAGTAGTGTGGTTTCAACATTGTGCTTGTGTTTTGGTGCATCCCTCTCATCCAGTTGGCTACACGACAGACGACCTGCAGTTTATGTGGCAAACAGGCGACCCGGTGCAGATGGACGCCATCGCTCTGCCACAGTTTGACATCAGACAAGAGGACATTGATTATGGAAACTGCACAAAGTTCTATTCAGGAACAGGTATCGCCGCCGTCCAGATCTCCGACATATTTTTAAGAGGAAGCTACAAAAACGCGCATTGATCAGATAATACGCATTTATATATTTTATAAATATTGTATATTGTCTTAAAATCTTAGTTAAGTTGTGTTGGTGTCAGTGTAAGTGTACAGCAAATGGAAATGTAATATAATATAAGCGTTTCCATCAACCAGTCTTTTGAAGCAAACGGGGTTCTGACATCACGGCCGTTTCTTTCATTGATTTTTCTTCTCCTGGTTTATGAACTGAACTACACTGTCGTTGTTTGATTTAGGTTCCTAGTCTAAACAATCCGGTGAGGGTTACGAGTATATTCAATAAAGAAAGTAGAGACTCTCATTTACAATAGACATTTTTATTCAATTTGGGGATTTAGTTCAATCGTTTTTTTTTAATGATTTTTTGGGAGACTCTGAAGCTTCATGCGACAATATTCAACGGATCCTTCAAACGGGAAGGAAATGTCATTCCGCAGTCTTCACACAACAATGCACAATGCAGGATTTTTTTTTTTTTTTCCGAAAAAGCAGTAAGCTGTTTGAGTGCAGCGGGGTTAAATCTGAGTTGAGTGGAAACCCGTAGTCATCCATTCAGTGTCACCCTCCAAAATGCATTGTGAATATCTTTGTGTTTATTAGTTTGGACTGTCTCTGTTGGCCCTATACTGCATTTTATTTTAACACCAACGATAATATGAATAATATGAATAGTTGAAGTCAGATGGATTCCACATAAACGCTTTGTGTAGGGTTTTTAAAATCAAATCGCGTGTGTCCCCAGGTAGATATTTCTAAGATGTCGGGAGCAGGTAGCTACAAAACACACACAGGCCTACTGTCGAGAGAGGTTCATGGTAGTGTGCCATTCGTGCGATTGGACGTTTTACGATGAAATGGAAAGTCTCTATCGGCCAAAAGAGCCGCTATGACCTCAGTGCTCTCGCACGCTGCTGGCGATGATTCAGCCTTTTAACTGGTTGCCAGGGCAACCTGGCCAGACACAAAGATCACCTCTGTGTTTGACTGGTTCGAGCCGGCTCTGCGACACAGGCGGCCCTTATTAAGCCGTGTAAAGCTCACCCAGAGATCCCCGGGCCAGTTAAATATTACTTCAGCCTCCCGTCCCATCGGACCAACTACCCCGCCTCAAAGAGCGGGAGCACAGCGCAGCCGCGAGAGGTGTGAAGGGCATCCATGCTGGTTCCAAACAATTAAAACCATATTTCAGCGGAGATTGATCGGTTTAGAATTGAATCGTTTATGGATGGAAATGTATGGTACGAGAGATTACCTTTTGAAATCACGAACCTGTAATATCCACTTACAATAAGAAGTGGTACAGAACAGATGTAGTTCTTCATAACGGGCAATGCAGTGTTTAAGAAGTTAGATATTATGATCTTAAATTCCTTTAACTTCCTTACGGTTTTCTGTACTGTGAATGTTGCAGATATGCTTTGCTTTGTCCATCCATCCATCGTCAAACCGCTTATCCTGCACACAGGGTCGCGGGGGGGCTGGAGTCCATCCCAGCCAAGTTCGGGCGATAGACAGGGTACATCCTGGATTGGTCGCCAGCCAATCGCAGGACTACACAGAGACAGACAACCAGTCACACTCACATTCACACATCTACGGGCAATTTAAAGTCCCCAATTGACCTGATCCCCAGAGCATGTCTTTGGACTGTGGGAGGAAGCCGGAGAACCCGGAGAGAACCCACGCAGACACGGGAAGAACATGCAGACTCCACACAGAAAGGCCACTGGGCGGAATCGAACCCAGGACCTTCTTGCTGTGAGGCAACAGTGCTAACCACCACGCCACCGTGCCGCTTTGCTTTGTGTTGGAGTTAAAAAGTCGGATCAGATCCAGGACTTAACCTGGCTGCTATCTTTCCTCTAGATGCCTAATCCGGATTTAGAAAAATCACCGTAAGGCCATTTATCTCTCCTGCTCACTTTCAATTTCAATTTCTAAACCCAAATAACATCTTTGAAAGGACAAAGATGTACCCGTGTTGCGTTCAGGTCGTATTGTTCAAACCGAAATTACGCACAGCTGAATTGGAAAATGTTCTAAAGAGATGTTGGAAATATCTAACAGGGAAAATATGACTGGAAAAACTGGAAAAGAGCCACACAATCCAATACCAACACTAATCCAATGAATGGTTTTTATCATTTACAGGAGGAACTCTGTTTCTCACTGGAGTCATTCAAGTTCTATTTGACCGTGACGTCTTTCTTCATGCAGGCTACTACACTTGTGTAGAGGTTATCTTCACTCTGAGGCGGCAGGTTGGATTCTACATGATGGGCGTCTACGCCCCCACGCTGCTCATCGTGGTCCTCTCCTGGCTCTCCTTCTGGATCAACCCGGACGCCAGTGCCGCCAGGGTGCCTTTGGGTACGGATCTCTTCATCAATTCACATGACGCGTACGGCTATCTAACCAGGCTCCGGTGAATGAGAGTGCGGGTGTCAAAAAAAAAGATATCTGCGTAGAAAAGGCACACACACACACACACACCTGGACAACGTTTAATAAACCTTGGCTACTGGCTGAGTTTAAACAACGCAGGTACAGGGTTTAGCTGAAGGAGGGAAACATTTACAGGCTCTTGTGTTCCTGCCAAATGTTAATCAATGTGAGCAACGTGGGTCCCATCAGGAGACAGAAAGAAGCGGGACGCTCAGCTGACCAAAGAAGGTGCGTCTGATCCCCATTAACCCCGAGTGATGGTGGGATGTGCGGAGGCACATGAGAAGCGCTGCTGCCTCTTTTTCACACAGTCTGGTTAACTTGAAGAAGGTCCAGGTAAATTATTACACCGTTCGCCGAGCCCAGGGGGGATGTGAGAACGCTTAGGTACAGCTTGTGCTCAATTATGGTTGTTTTGATTTACACACTGAATAAATCACAGATTAGCTATCTTTTTAGTTTTCTTCCTGTTTACAGTCTCGCTTCTTGGCACAGACCGAGTTTCACCATATTGTGCCTTACCTACCTAAGTCTTCTTTGAAAGTCCTCCACCTTTCTGTGGCGTTATTCCTTCTTTAAATTTAACTGCGTATGCTATATTTCTATTTTATCAAATAACTAAACTGCACTCTTAATTATGTGTCGAGGGATATTTTGTTCCACACCAACGGCTGCAAAGTCTTGTTGCAAAAACGTCTTAAAACCGCTGCAACATTTTATCCCAAAAACTTGAAAAGAAAATACGTGAGTGTCCAATAATGACGCAGCATATTCTAATACACGGGAGGGTTACTTACCCCACGGAATGAGAACGGGCTGAATTGACGCACTTTGATAATGTTTTGATCGTTTGGTGAAAATTGTGCATTCCACCGTTTCACCTACTTTTAACTCCTACGGAACTGAACCTGTGTGTGATGTGTCAGTGTCCCCCAGAAACAGTCCCCCTGGGACACCTCGTGTGTGCAGGGCTGCGTGCATGAGATAATCTATTGCCATCCCACTCCTTTTCTTCATCCTCCCTCCAGTTGTTTATCACCATTCTCATCCCATCATCACTGCGACTCCCCCGGGGTCCCTCCTCTGACTCCTCTCTAAATGGGATCAGTCCAGGTCAGTCAACATTTAGGTGTTGTGCTCTGCTCACTCGGTGTGCGTTAGCCTTTAAGTCATTGTCTATGTGTGTGTGTGTTTTCTTCTACACACTGGGTGGTGTCAGCAGGTAATTTTTGCACCGCCAACTCTTTCACGTTCATCCTCCTCCATGTTTAATGGTCGGGCTTCCAGGATGACAATAGTCTGTTTAACAGTGTGTTGCAGCGGGGGAGAAGCCGTTTGATGAGAAGTCCTGAACCCTGAACGAACCCTTGACGAGTGACCAAGTTGAAAAAGTCAGTTATTATCTCTCAAAAGAATCATCACAGCAAGAAAAAAGGGAGTGAAGCCATTTATTGGTGGCTGTAATACAATCCTCAAAAAGTGGGTGTAATTATTTCTTTTGTAGCCTGAAAGCGTTTCCGCTGCGCGTTTGGAAAGCGCTAACCTGTAATCCCGTTAGCTATCAACGATAACAAAACGATAATGATAATTACTGCTATTAGAGGCTGTCTGAGTTTTTGAAGACGTCCTAACGAAAGAACAGTCGCGATGTTCATTGCAGAGCCCCTGTGTGCATGTGAGCCCTCCGCTAGGTTTGTCTCAGCAGTCGGTTCATCAAAAGCTTTTCCTCAGTGGAAACAAACGTTTAAGGCGGCACAAGCAGGGCTGTCTGGTGTAAGTGGTGTTTGATTACTGCATAGTTATACTCCCATTATGTGATTAACCGGAGCCGGGTATTGATCCTCAATACTTTCTCAGCCACAAAGGAAAACATCGTCAAGCACCACGACTTGACGTCGGCGGTGCTTCCAATTCAACTTTGTGATGCATTACATTGGAAAAGCTCAGTTGAATTCAACAAGTTGAATTATGGAAACACTCGTAATGTTGATGATCGCCAGATAGCATTAGCAATAATACACATAATTAGAAAAACATGCCCAATTTAAACGCATTCAGGATCCCCTTTGCTGGCCGCCAAGTTCACCCGTCCTCCCTCTCTGCTCAGGCATCCTCTCGGTGCTCTCGCTGTCCTCCGAGTGCACCTCGCTGGCTTCGGAGCTGCCCAAAGTGTCCTACGTCAAGGCCATCGACGTCTGGCTCATCGCTTGCCTCCTGTTCGGTTTCGCCTCGCTGGTGGAGTACGCCGTGGTCCAAGTGATGCTCAACAGCCCCAAGCGCATCGAGGCGGAGAAGGCCAAGATAGCGGCCAAGGAGAAGGCTCTGGGAAAGATCCCCGCTGCCAAGAACAACGCGCTCAACGGCACGGGGGGGACGCCGCTTCATGTCAGCACCCTGCAGGTCAGGGGATCTTGTTGGAGTCTCGCTTTTTATGCTCAGTCCCACCAGAATGTAACGGACCTTCATACTGATGAAGTCAGCTAAATCTGTGCTTATGTGTGTGTTTCCAAGTAACCTCTGAAACCACAGAGATGTAATCTAAAAAGAGGGAAATCCAATAATTGAAAACTGGCATTGTCTCACGTGCACGACGGGCATGCAGCATGTTGAACGGACCCCTTTAACTGTACGCCTGATTGAAACGGATTTAACTATGTTTGTTCGTACCGTATTTGGTTTCGAGGGGATTATGCTGTTCCAGTGAGGTCTGATGGGTTTTCCTGTCAAAAGCAAATCCAAATAATGACGCCCTAATGAGCTCAATGACTTCAGTGAGTTAGCATCCATAGTCTGATTAGACCCCGTTCACCCCGCAGGCCGGCAAGCACGATAATGAAACGATTTCCCTTTGCTTATGGTTTGCATGCTGTTAGTCTGCTGTGAAAGCACATGGATGTGTGGGGGACTTATAGGAACCACATGACGCAGCACAGCATGAGTTGTGTCCGAGCTGCAGCATCAAACGGCTCCTTTATGGGATGTTCGACGCGTGTGGTGTGTTTTTTCGATTGAGTCCCAACAGCCCTAAACCGCCTCGTTTAAATGTTCCTCACAGTTTAGAGGAAACCTGCAGAGTGAGTGGATGTGACTTCTGAGACTCTATTCAACTGCAACACTTTTTTGTTTTTCTTTTGTCAACGAGTGGTGAGAGGAAGCGCAGCATTCAGCAGTATTCCAACGTATGATTGAGTCAGTTCGCACGTGAAGATCTATGCAGTTTATTCCTCAATCGAGGAATATATTAAGAAAGGACATAAGTGCACCGGGATACTTATACCGTACCCTAACCCTAACCCAGGACAGAGCGGACACATTTAGTAGATGTGAAGTGTATGGTATGTATGTTTTGCACAGCTGATGTCTGATAGAATGTTGTCTTTGTTGTAGAGGACCAACGTGTACTGCTGAGAGTAATATTACTATTTAGCTAACTGAAATTTGCACTGTATTGCTTGTCCTGTTACCTGTCTTCCTGTTTTAAAGACACATATCTTGTCAAAATTGACCAAATTGGCTTCTTTTGTTTTCAAAACTACAGCCTTACTCCGCAAGGAATAATGTGTTTCTCTATTACTGTGTTCAAAACCTGCATTTTGACAATATTCTGCAAAATGGAACACTCTTTGTAAGAGTTGTAGTTGTAGTTAATCTTACTTTGGTTAGCAGAAAAGGTTCAAACGACTGATCAACCCCGTTTTCCCTCACACCTTTCTCTCGCCCCCAGGTGGCGGAGACGCGCTGCAAGAAGGTGTGCACCTCTAAATCGGACCTGCGGACCAACGACTTCAGCATCGTGGGGTCGCTGCCGCGCGACTTTGAGCTGTCAAACTTTGACTGCTACGGGAAGCCCATCAATGACGCCATTGCCCACGGCAAGTCCAAGGCCAAGCACCAAAAGAGACCCCCTCCCCCGAAGCCGGTCATCCCCTCAGCGGCCAAGAGAGTCGACCTGTACGCCCGGGCCCTCTTCCCGTTCTCCTTCCTCTTCTTCAATGTGGTTTATTGGTCCGTGTACTTGTGATTATTTAGTAGTAAAACCGACCCCACTTCACTGCCACCAGTTCGTTGTTGATCTGACTACCTTCGAGAATTCCAAAGTGAATGTGTTTACATGTTAGTCTGCTGGTTTTAGTCTCGTTATTGATCGTATTCAGGATATGGCGTTTACGTGGGATGTGAACAACCTGGCTGTTCATATCCCTGCGCACGTGATCTTTACACTGTCCAGGTTTCCGATCGTCTGCCTGCAGGTATTCTCACCATCACAGCCTCGGTGTTCTGTACCTAACACTCCCAAACTCGGAGACGGCCCGAGGGATCCCGCTTTCTATCGGAGCACTGCGGCCGTTGTGTGCAGGCTTCTGAAACACGGAGATGATGTTTACATGACAAACGGATAACAGGGATAGTCCTAAAGCCACATCCGGCCCAGGAGTGTGAAAATACATTTTAATATACCTTAACGACACAACGTATTTGCTTAGAAGAAGATAAAACAATGTATTGTTACATTTATATTTACATGAAAAAAGAAAACTTTCACAATTTGTGTATCAAATAATACTAATACTTGATATTTGTAAAACAAAAATGTAAATACAACATCTTGAAATCTATCATTTATTGATAATGGTACTTGAAAGGTTAATACAGGATTGCAACACTTTGGGGTAAGAGCTGATCAGAGGAAGCACAGATCTATAAAAGAGCATTTGTAAATATTAAATTAATTTTAACTTTGCGAAATGGGATTCTGCCCCAGAAGTTTAATCTGTTTCCATATTTATTCATGCTCCAGTGCAATTAAAGTGCATGTTAAAAAAAAAGTTAAATTGCATGTATACGAAGATAAATTCTAAATATCTATATATAAAGTATTTATTTCCTTTTTATCCTTTTTCTGATTTGCTCTTGAGAAGATAATGGGATATGTGAAAACACTGCGTTCTTGTTCAGATGGTTATGTTACACTGCCACCATTCCAACAGATTCAATGTTTGAATGTTCACCCACTCGTAGCGTGTGTAAATGGGTCACTACCGAGCTGTGACCATGTGTTTGTGATGTTTACAAATAAATGACCAAAACACTTTTCACCATTTGATGTGATTAAAATGAATTATTGAACACTGGATGCTTTTATTTTGGTGATATTAATCTATTTTACTTTATTGTATTTTCAACCCCCCCGGGTGGATTTGGGAAGAGAAAAGTCTGTGTGCATCCCCCCCCCGTGTTGTGCGACATGTATCCGGCACGTCGCACAACAACACAGCTGCTCCTCCACCAAGGTGTGAGCTGTCCTAATCAAGCATCCCCAGGCATCTATTATTCATGCAAACCGGCCTGGAACGCTGACCCCGGACCGTCATTTGTGAGATTTCTCATATGAAATCAGTCTCCGGCTTAATGAAGCAAGATGGATGTTGACCTTATGTTATGACAACAGGGTCATATTGATGAAGTGTGTTGCAAATTGGACCAGAGCTGCACATGTAAAAGAGCCCCGGTGCTGGGATCATTTTTCTAAATGATCACAGAAAAGAATCTTATTTCTCTTTCTCTCTCTCTCTCTCTCTCTATTTCGTGCTCTCTCTCTCTCTCGTCGCCATGGTTACAGTCATGGAAAAGGAGTTTTTTTCTGTCTGTACAACAGATTTTTCCTGAGAAACAAGTGCGAGTGAGACGGTAACTGTGCGCACACTCAAGTGGGAAAAGCCTCTAAAAGACTAATGAAAATATTTAGTTCTAGTTAGTTTTTTATCGTTTTATGAGTAAATTGAGCTATGACAGAATCTCTAATGAGATTCTGCATTGCAGTGCCCTCCAATGGCCAAATCTATATTTGTTTCATGTTATAAAGAGATGAAATGCTCTCGTGGGGTAAAATAAGCGATGCATTGCCAGGTTATGTGTAGAGTACAATATGGCACCGCCAGAAAAAAAGAAGGTGGATTTCCACTCCAAGTTTAGGTGAAAGCTTTTCAGTTTGGTACATAAACCCCACTATAAGAAATAAAAGATACTTCATGTGGCGAGAACGTCATTTGTTTTATGAAAACCTTTTTAACATCTTGCAATTCAGCTTCAATAGTTTTCATAGACTAACAGAGCAGATGACATATTACCAATGGAGCAAGAACACTCCGTTAAGAGGTTCTAAGACTAAACCCTCGACACCAGCACATTAGCTGAACAACACAGTCCTCGTGACTCATGTGTGTGAGTGTGCACCCAGCACCCTGCTAGCACACCAGGGCAGTAACCTATATCACACAGGGGGCTTTCTAATCCAACATGACCTCTCGCCAGGCTGCCACCAAGAAAACCACCATGACAGTCAGCCAGTGATTGGTGGAGGAACAGTGGGGGGGCACCACAGGGCTTATTGGAAGCTTGTTTACTGTGAACAAGGCTCTCACGCATCGTCGATGTGCTTTTACAAACATTTCCTAGCTCCGAAAATACACAAAGACAGAGTAAGGAAGTTGGTTTTGTTCTTGCATCCGATGCAATGTCATCTTCCGTTCTGTAACAGAACATGACATCGTAGGATCCGACACCACGGTGTATTTCCACCTCACAGGCTCAGTCACAGTTTGGCTAGAGAGCGTGCAGGGTGCCATTTGCTGTCAGAGGTCAACCTGTAAAACAGCCGTGACTGTGCTGCATTACAGTTTGTTCTCCCCAAACCAGGGAAAAGACGGGGAGAAGTTTGACGGGCGGGAAGGTTGGAGGAAATAGACGATTGCTACATTGAGGCACCAAATTAGACAGCTGTGTCTTTGATTTGATTTGTTCAAATATCGAAATCTGTTTCGGAGGCAGGAAATGAAAAAGACATTGCATGACATTGGAATCTATTAATCGTGTTGATGAGCCGATGAAGGATATTTCTCACTTTACATTGCACATGTCTTCACATCTGGGAGAGCAGTTTCAGCTCATGCCTTAAGGATATGACTTTGATATGAATCATACGAGGCATAAACGCTGAAGGGAAGGTTTGAGAGGTCAAATTACAAGACGAGCCCAACGCAACAGTGGTACGTAGCTGATAGTGTAGTGAAAGTGTCCAGTCTCAGCATTCTTTCTGACCTTGCAACCAATCCCTGCAGGTTTAACTCCCCAGAACTGTTTACTGCTTCTCCGTGGCCAAAGGCCGTGCTCTGTGTGCACGTCACCTCTGTACTCTCAGCCACAGCAGCAGCGACTGTACTGTGAGTCACAATATCCTGATCAATACACAACATTGAGAATGTGTCATGAAGGATGATGGTTTGCTTGGTGATTTGTAGTCATAGCTGTCATAATTCGCATGACCAACAGTTGTGTTTGTTTGTATTTTGTATCACTAAATACATCTTAATTTACTAAATTGTTGTCCTAATACATAATATGGAAGTTAATTGCTCCTCTCGTCTAAGCTGTTTAGTCACATCTGTCCTCAGAATAAATAGTACTAATCTACGTTTCAGAAACCCACTGGATAAGTTGAATGTTGACTTTTCTCTAATATTTGTCACACATTTCATATCTTTTCACAGTGTGAAAGTCTGGTTTCACACATTCAACAGGCTCCACCTCCTTCCGACTCTCTGACAAGAGAGAAAACAATCCAGACAAAGCACGACATCATTTTATATTCTTGATTATTTCTATAACTATAACTATAGCATGAGATGAAACCTACACATTCATGTTTATTCTCTTGGCCTTTATATTTTCTCGAATCAAACTAGATTAAGTGTTTATCTCATTTTCATGTACGTAAATTTGACTACTCAAAAATCTGCAAAATAATCTTCCCAGTAATTCACAGATACACATCCATTGTTTGTGTTTAGTGCAGCTAATGACGGCAAGAGATTCATTAAAATCATTAAACTCCGTTCCCATAAGGTCACGTGTCAGATCCCCACAGACGTCCCATCATAGTCAAAGTGTCTCATCGCAGAGCCCTTGAGTGAGACACTAACATGCTGCTCACTGTAAGAGCAACACCTAAATGCCAGAAATGCAAACGCTATCTAGGAGGCAGCCGCTGCAGAGGATTCCCAGGACATTAAACAATTGACAAAAGGTCACAGACTCTGTTTGAGCAGCACAAAGCGCCTGTTACTCCAGCAGGTCCAAATGTGTTCATTGGCACCAGTCAAATATCCATCTCAATCTTGAGGTTTATTTGTGTAAATTAACATTAAATAAACATAAATATTCTCACACAGCTGCAGACTCATTGGATCTCATTATATTCCTAAAAACTCATTAGAACGCTCCACGGCGGTGCAGCAGTTAAATTATCTCACAGACTGCAAATTCAGTAAATTGCGGAATGCTGTAAGATAATGAAATTGCACATCGGTCTAGCAGCGGCAGCAGTGTGAATCCAGGCATGACACAACCTCCAGACAAGGTCAGATGAGCATATGTCGGGACGAGGAAACAAGACAGCTGAGCATGGAATGCATTCTGCACGAGGACAAGCAAATGTTTGGATGTCCAGATCGTGCAAAGTGCAACAGGTTCGGCACAGTTTCCTTCTGTCATTCTGTTTCTTCCGTAGTGCTAATGTACAAGTTGTGCTGATATGTATATATATTTTTTGATAATAAGAAGTAAAATAATAAGAAGTGGACGGTGATCGCCGTGATGTAATCCTTTTGTTTTTGGACAAAGATCTTGAGTGAACTCCCAAAGAAATAGAGATCAATTATTTAATTCCAAGTAACTTCTAGTGCAATTTAAACATGTTGCAATTTGTTCTCCAGACACATAAAGTACAACGTTAAAAATTAAGCTTACAACGATAAATATATGTTTTTTAATATGTATATAACATTCATTTTTAAAGTCAGCATCCCAATATAAGTGAAGTACTGAAAAACGTACACAGATTGCTATATTTGTGTTTTGGTTTGATTGATTTTGATTGGCCATATTCGCTTTTAAGAGGATTTAAATGATATGACGAAAGTTATTTAAGTATTATAATTATGGATTGTTACCTGCATCCCAATCTTGTTCATAAACTGTTTTCATTTGCAACAAGGAAATAAGACCAAACAGTTGACCTGTTTTTAACCTATAGTATCTTTAGATGCTTGTTTTTCTTGATTATATTCAAAAGAGATGATGGCCGAAACTAAGAGGAGGACCAAAGGTGTCACAAACCCAACATGTCCATTAATATTCCAAGTCCTACATTTACTCATAAAAGACTGTGTTATATATGTGATGTGCTGTCCATGGTGCTGAACTACGTTGCTTCTAACTGCCGCCACCTTGAGCTCTCACCTGATTAGCTCCTATACTACTGTCCAAAGATCAATAAAGGAATGCATATCATACAGCAAGGGGGAAGGATATGGCAGTTACAACCAATTTACATTGCATTGATTGGAATGCAGATGGTGGAAATAAGCACTGGATCCGAGTTAAAGAGGAGATTCACTGCTGGAGGGCATGATTGATGGCTTCCAGCTGATGTGCTTGACAAGTTTTCTCAGTATGAAATGTTCTGCCCCAGAGGAGACTTGTTTTTCAAGTTACCAGAAAACATTTTCATACCTCAAATGGTCTATAAAATATGCCTTTTTGATGCTTTTCTGACATTTGTCAATTATACAAAACAGCTCAACAGCTCAACAGATCTTGAGCTATATTCTACGGTGCATCCTAGGAGATAAATGATTAGAGGTTCAAATCTGTATGCACAAGATAATCAGCACATTGAATCATGCATATATCTTCAGGGTTACTGGTGTTGCTATTTTTCGTCTAAGGTCTTATTAAGATTAAGCTGATAAAGCAACTGTTATCAGACCATCAGGTCCTCTTTGCCTGTTCCTGCTTCAATGAGAGCATGAGCTCTACGTCGTGCCAACATGAAAGTACGCTCTTGCTACTGGTAACGTGGAAATATTTCAAAAATACACATCTAAGTCTGATTATTGACTTTTACATTAATCCAACGGGTTAGTAAAGATGGAGGTGGCTTTGACATGAAAGCAGAACAACTTATTAAACAACTGTGCCTAACTCTATGTGTGACCCCGGGATGTTGTGAATTTAATAATCTGCCATGTACGCCTAAGTGATATATATATATATGGTCCAGCCAAGTCTTTTCAACCGGCTAAAAAGTGGATGAAACATCACTGTGCCAAAACTTGCCAATTTTGTTGATAATGTGACATGTTCACGTCAGATTCAATGATAGACGATATAAACATTAAGATTTCCATAATAATTAATGAACTGGATAACGAAATTTGGTCCACACAAAGACCCGCTTTTAACACATTTAATATTTCACTCAAAAACTAACAAAATAAATATTGACTATAGATGTGTGTTGCTGCTTTAAGGACAAAGTAATGCGGGCAGTTTCAAACGTTACTTAAATATTTGCTCACATCTGTAACGCGCATGCGCAAGTTCTTAATAAAACCACGACTACCGGCTCCAAAACTCCGTAAGTAGGTGAGTGTTTTAATGAAGCGCACCTGGAACTATGACCAGTTGTTTTACTCATGCCGCCCACTCGATACGGGCTAGGCTGCTCTTACTAGTAATTAGCATGCTAGCTTGTAGCATGATGTTGGGGCCAAAATGTTGTGAGTTACTGCTGCTTTACAACTGTACGTATGAAACTGTCCAATAAAGCTTAATGTTACTGCAGAAATACAAAACGTGGCTGTTGAATAGTTATCTTGTTTATAATGTAATAAGTAAACGATATTTACTTAATCTGTAATTTTTTAGCATAAAATCATTTTCAAGACTTAAAAATGGAGGGAGCTTAAATGTAAATCAACGCTGTAGCCACGTTGATCTAAATTGATGATGGTCCACAGGGATCTTTTACACACAAGGGTTGTGAGACATCTGTGAATGAGGGTTCCAACACACCTGCTGCTGTTATTAGTCACGTTGCTGTCATCATGAACCCAAATTACAGACTTTGCTTCATTTTCTTTCTTTTTGCTTTCCCTCCTCACAGGTTTCTCTGGATGGTGGTTACATCTGATGGTGGTTACATCTGGTGGTGGTTACATCTGATGGTGGTTGTCCCTGCAGTGGTCCTGCCTTACAGGCTTACTCTCAATGTTTGAATGCTTTCTGTCGTAGGAATTGAGCGTACTTTCAGTTAATTCGGTACAAACTCCTCTGCCAGTCGTCCGCAGGTTTGTTGAAGGTTTCAGGTTTTCATTTTAATTTGGGGCGGAGTTGATATGAGGCTTTCTGGACAAAGGATGTTGCATTTATACAGACTGTATAGATCTGGGATTTAGGGCCACAAAATAAAAAGATTTCAATGGAATGAACATGAATCTGCACCGGCACTCTGACTTCACACAAAGAATCTTCAATTGACCATGACGGAGCTGATTTTATCCAGATTCAAGTGACTCGTATCGCGTTCCAAACATTTAGAAAATTGGGCTACAAACAAACACAGAAATTTAAACTCCAGTTTTATTTCCAAAGTTAATTTCCCCTGAAATATATTTTATTTTTTATTCTGTTTTTATGTAATAGAGTTGTATGTCATATTCATATTGTTTAGTAATAAATAAAAATGAATCAAAGAATGGACTGTTCCTAATCTCACTATAACTTGTGAGTTAGTCTTTTAAAGGTGAAAATGCTCGCTGGGAGACTTCTGGTTCCCGTTGTAACCGAACCAGTAGTTGACTACTGTCACAAAGTGGTCGCCGCTCGGCTCTTTCCGTCTCCGTCCGCCTTCTCATTAACGTTCCTCCCTCGTGGGTGTGATGCCGAAAGGATCTCCGGCGCGCCGCGCGGAGACGCGCAGTGTCCCTGCGCGCTGAGAGGAGTCATCAGCTGCCGGCAGGAGGGAAACGACGAGGAGGCAGCGGGAGAAGAGACGAGCAGATCCACGTTGCTGGCATTCCTTCACCGCTGCTCACAGCAGAAGAAAAACAAAAAAAAACGGCCCTTTGCTGCAGATTTTAAATTGTTTTTCCTGGAGGTCTCCATCGTTTGTGGGATTTAACAGCTCCGGAGACATCGAGGAATATCAAACTCCCCTGGTGGATGTGGACAACTAAACTGTGGACATGGAACCAATAGTGAATTTATCCGTGTCGGTCCTGCTGGTTTTATGGGGGTGCGCGCTGGGAGGTTCGCCCAGTGTTCAGATCGGTACGTATCCATCAGTTCCAACGCAACAACCATTTGTGCGTAAAATGCTATAAGCACATTTTTAATTGCTAGAGAACAATGTGGCACTGAAGCTCATATTTGCCTTTGGCTTTCAGGGGGACTCTTCCCAAGGGGCGCGGATCAAGAGTACAGCGCGTTTCGGATAGGGATGGTTCAGTTCGGCACCTCGGAATTCAGATTGACGCCCCACATTGACAATCTGGAGGTGGCGAACAGTTTTGCTGTCACCAACTGCTGTAAGTGGCAAAAAAATGCCCCCACCTTCGTTTTAATGCAACATATCTTTCTTACCGGTGTGCGCGTCTTCCGCAAAATGGTAAATGCGCGCGTGTTGTGCCTTTTTATGGGATGCGTTTGGAAACCATTTGTGATGTCGGCAAACAAATGGAGACTTTGAGGTGGGGAGGATGAACGAGCATCATGTGGTCAGGGGAAAGTTGGTTTCCACGGAAACAGTCATTCACATGTATGCCATTTCTATTCCGTTGGATTCAGAGATCAAACTAAGCGTTGCTGCAGAAATATCGATCCAACTGGATCGCTTCATCCTCTGAGTAAAGTTTAGTTTGACTGCGCTTGATTGGAATCAGCATCGACCCGTTTGATGAAAGCATCATTTCGATGGGAGATTTGACTTTTCTTTCCTCCTTATTCTGCGAAAAAAAGAAAGCCGGCACTTACAACAAATCAGATTAAATCTATGTCGCCGTATGGGTAGCGTCCTTTTCTTGTTTGCGTGAGGCGACATGTCACCTCTTTTCTCGGTGTTCATCCATTATTGGCTCCCAGGACTCAGCACACGTACATCAAGGATGGATAGAAAGGGTTAAGTTAACATCCGAGGACCTTAAATAATAGTCAGCTCCTCGGGGAAACGCAGGAGACAACCGACCAAATCCCATCCAACTCCATCACCGTTCTAATGCTGTCACCAGACAGCGGAGACTCATTTTTTTATATATATATCGATTCTCTTACATCAAATAAACCAATATGCCGAGTATTTTTCTCAGAAATATCGCCAACAAAAGGAAACAAATGGCTTTCTACGGCCGCAATGTTTTTAATGGGCGCCGCTCATACGTTTCTTTAGACGGTTGCCAAGCGACTACCAGTTCCCCCCCCAAACATAAATCACACGCTTGTGATTGGTGCGCACATCGGTCCAATCGATGTCATTAGCATATAAAAGCTTCCAGCTTGGAGAGCCTCGTTGCATCCTGCAGATCACAGCGCGAGCCGACGTGCACGTGTCACCGCCCCCTGTTTAATAAGCATTGAATGGAAAACAGACTAGTTGGGTTGACAGCGAGTCACACCTACACACAATTACATCAGTATAGTTTTACCCTTGTTTCGCGGATTCGTTTTTAATCAATCTCAAATATTAAAAAATGCACCCCCCCCCCCCTCTCAAATGTGTGGTTGTTGTGTGTAAACTCCATTTAACTTCTTTATCAGATCTTCATCAAATATGATCAGAGTGTTGGATTTATGTTACTTGGGATTTTAAATCAGCCTGGTGCCAAATCATTAATTACCACCATCTGATTTCTTCACACGTTTTTTTTTATCGTATGTGCGCCAAGGTAATGGAGCAAATTGTTACCAAATTGCAGTCTGAGGCCAGCAAAGTGGTTTTCATTATCCCATTCTTGAATTATGACACACGGGAAGAGAGCTGGCTTCCCACAAGTCCCACAACAAGTCGGATCACGCAAATTCAGTTTTTGCAGAAATCAATCTGCGCAGTAAACACAAATGCTGTCAGTTTTATTTTGCCACCTAGAGCATTTAGGGTGCGTGCATGATGGTGTAAGCAGCAGCTGACACACGTTTAAACAAAGTAATTAAACCTACATACTGGGTAAAGCAAATGAACAAACAAATGATTAGTGATGTGGAGCGAAGTGAATGGCTGTCACATCACGTAAAAGGCGGCTAATAGCCGGAGCTCTTTTTGTTTTCTCTCAACACAACACGCAGCCTGAACGTGTGGCACACGCTATTGTTTTTTCCCAAATCGTGGTTGCATGAACGTTACCTTCCCTCTGTAATCGACTACGTAGGTGGGAGTGTGTGTGTTTGGGGAGAGAGGGCCGGGGGTTAAGCCGATAGATGGCGGTCTGCCTCCGATCCACTTATATGTGTAATTACAGTGAATTAACACCACCACTTTGCCTTTTTTTTTTTAACTGTACTTGATGAGGCTGCACAAAGTGGAGAATAAAGCATCGGACATGGCACATTGCGAGCATGAAACCGCTGGGTTCGTGTAAGCTTGTTGTTCCTGGAGGAGCTGCTCCATTCCGTCAGCTTGAGCTTTCATTTCGTATCAAACAAACAGCACTTCTGTCTTTAATGAAGAGGGAGACCTGAGGGGCGATGTGGCGCTACACCATATGGGATTGAAGTGGACTACAACAACTGAATCTTAATGTATCGTTCTGATCAAACTGACTACGCAGCCTGACGTTTTAGAAAGGTCTAAGGAGCAAATGTTGGCAAAGATATTTCCTGACGTGCGTTGTGATTTAATGAATCGTAAGCTTAAGCGTTCTTGAAAAGACAATGTGTCTTATATTTTCTTATCGGCCCAATGTGATAAAAGTAAGACATTATCTAAGATTTTTCCCTGAGCTCTGTAGCCCACAGACATATCACACTGGCTGCACTTGGCCTGCACAGCAGCACACTTCATTAATGCAGTGTGTCAGAGACAGTGGGAGGGAGGATGATACATTCCTCCATCAATAATAGTTCATCTGGACAGGCGTGCATCTGCTGCCAAGACCAGAGGATTCATTGGACCTGGATGTGAGCATGTATAGTGTGTGATTTTGTGGAGCGGTGTGCTATCTGCCAAGTAATCAATTGAACAAACTATTTCTTGCACTTTCTAGAATAGAACACCTTGGAGACTTCATCTGGTTAAATGACCAATGCACCCTAAAACCATGTAAATAACCATATATGTGATATGTGTCGATATTCTGTGGCCATGTAACTGTTTGGTGCTTCAAGGAATAGTTCATAACTGCTCTGCAGGTATAGATATAATAAGAACAACAACTTGATTGGCAGGTTCTGATTTATAATACATCAGTGACTAATTTTCTTCCAATTAATAAATGCATCAGATACACAATGCTTCCAGTAATGAACTCACAAGTTTTTTGAAGCATCGAGGACTGAAGGTGACCTGCACGATTTACCAGTGGGGGTCAATGTGCTGGTCATGAAGAATCCAATTAGGTCTGGAGGGAAAAATAAGAAAATAAAACATTCTGCAACACTTATTTGTCTGTCAAATACTGTCCTCATTAATGTGCAACTCATTCAAAATGAAACAAAAAGGACATTTACTATTCAATTGAACACATACTACTGAACTATAAAGGTGTCGTGAGCATAAATGGTTTGGAAGCTCTTTAAAGTTTAAATTCTCCATCCTTTATCACACCATTATCGTCTCTGGTAGAACTTACATGTGACACTTTTTCTGACCAATTTAGTGACTGAGGCGCCGCATTGTTCTTACACATTTTTTGGAATTGGACAAACCACCTTCACAACTGCAGCACAGGACCATTGAAAGGCATTCTGGGTGTCATCGCAAATCAATAAATTATTTACACCGAAATGCACACAGCTAATAAACGCTAATTAATGAGCGCTTAGCGGTGACCTTCTCCTTTAATGCAGTGAAAGGCATTTAAATAACCTCTGTCCACCTGTGCACATCTGTTTGCCTGCCCGTGTTTTCCTATTAAGCCTTCGCCTCCGTGCTTTTATTTCTCCCTCCCACCACTTCCAAAGCAAACCCCTCTTCCGTCTCGGAGAGCAGCGCGGCAGTCTGAGATCACTGACGGCCGGGCCGGCGATTCAACACTTCAAAGTTTGAGTTTGTCATGGCTGAATCGCCTTCGTACACTAATTTCATGCACATATCATCTCGGGGGCGGATGCATTCAGGAACCTTGCTGTGTGATCAAAGGCTTAAAGCGACCATATACGTGCATTGGAGCTTTGGTTATAGCCAATTTATTGTTCACACTTAATTAAGTGCATTCTCCATTTTAGAGGAAGTTTTGAAATATTAAACAGGCCCGGGAGCTGGCTGGTCAGAAAATGAGGCTAAAGAACCCTCCGCGGATCTCTGCTTGCCCTGAATACAACCCTCAGCCATGCACCATTTGTCCTCATAAAACAAGATAGCATCACTTACAGCGAGGTCCAGGGGCTCCCTGCTGGAAGTCCCCCCGCGTCTCGTATCCTTTGACTTACTGTGCCTCGCGCCTCTGAGGAATGTGGCTCAACGGCAGCTTCTTCTTCTTCTTCTTCTTCTGGGAAACAAACACATTCTCATGTCCTCCAGCGACAGTGGCCTGTGCATCGCACAATTCACTAGACACACACTAGACGCCATGTTTTCCTCCTTTAGCCAGTGCGACTTAAAATGAGATGCATGTGTGAAGAATTGTCATCCTAAGTGTCATAACCTTTGCTCCATTTGGTTGCTTTTTGCAAACAGAAATGAGCAGCCATGTTACTCTTCATCCACCTTTTAGTCACAATGAACCACAGTCACTAAATCAGACACAGACGCTCAGTTCATGACGCACAATTTATGAGAAATCTAGTCACCTATAATAGTCTTTCATTGCCGGGGTCACATAATTTAGCTGAGCAAGCATGCGACAGAGAAAAGTGACCGGTGCTTGGGTTCCATTCATTCGTTCACATTGACGTTTCCTCTCCGATACACAGTGAGTCCCTGCACCAGTGCGACATTACTTGTATTTTTTTGCATTTCTTTGGATGGTTAAAAAGAGATCCAGAGGTTGTCTCCTCAGAAAATATCTTAAAAAGATGTAACCGAGGCTTCATCCTCGGCCCACTATCTAGATGTCCCCTCCCGTATCTCTCGTTTGAAAAAAATAAAAGCAAGATGTTCATTCTCCTGCAGCCTTTCATCAGGCTCTGACAGCTCGTCCAGTGACAACCACCATCTACTCTGCCTGTTTCAGTGTGTGAAGAAGAGAGGTTTCAGACTCGGGCTGTTTACATCATGAGCGTCAGGCATCGCGTCGGGTGAGACAACGTAGCTCCAATGGTTCTGGATCAGCTGTCCGCTCCAACGCATCGCCGATATGATGAAGAGGGTCCTCTCGCAACATGAGCCGTACGATTCAATAGCAGCTTGGAGACACAAACGCTGTCTGTTTTTAGAATA